AGATGTGACCGCCCGGCGATCGATATTGCTATGCGCACATCTCGCCACGCGCTCGAATTGGGCGGTAGGCCGGCCTAAGACAACAATTTTTAATAATTAATTACTCGTTAACTATTACGAAAATTGCAAAATGGTACAGGACTTTTCCATTCATCTCGATCCGTTCTACCTTCTCAAAAATTTTGTCGGATATGGAAAGACTCACCCTGTATAAGCATGGAAATTGCGGTTTGTCTTAATTTCATTCTTTTATTTCGTTATAACTACAGAAAAAATCAAAGAGCAAACCAGTCTCCACGAACTAACGCGGAAGGTTATCAAGGTTTTTCATTTTCTGGTTAACTGTTAATCGCAAGTTAGTCGACTCTCTACCTTTCTTTGTATTATCTAAAAAGAAACAGAGCATTGCTTAACCTCCGATTAATGGTTAGCTAGAAAATGGAAAGAAGAAGAATCTTGTCGATTTGCGAAAAATTTCTTAAGTCCTGCAACCCCTTATAAGTGGAGAAACACCCTGAATCGCAATCTCGGACGCAAATTCGCGGCCGTCGAAGCGTCGAACGTGGCGGAAGCGCGGTGACATTTTCCGGAATACAAACGAGGGAAAGTACGAACGCGTATCTCCGCCGCGCCGCGGAGCGCCGGGCTCATTGTCGGTCGGCTGATAAACGGTTTCCTCGATCGTTAACCCCCGTGCTCCTCGGCCGCGAGTGTGACGTAAAATATTATTCCCCGCACACAATTGTACGTTCGTTTCTCTTCCTGTGGCCCGAAGGCGTGAGCGACCGGCGCGGCGCGACGAGCAAGTTTAATAATTTACCGCGCGTCAGAGAGATCACGCGGCCCGCGCCTCGTTGCTTTTAGCTGGCGTTGAGCAAATCCGAATATCGACACCGACACCGGGAAACGTCGGAGACGCCAACGTCGCCGCGGGAATGAGAAAGGGGCGATCCGATGGGAAAACAATTTATCTTTATTGTCCCGCGCCGATTTTTCATCGATATCTGCTCGTGATACTGTTATTCGCGACCGCGGACGTAGGCTCGCATGCTAATAAAACGCCTTTGACGCTTTGTTGTCTGAGATCATACGCGCCGTATCTTCTGAACCTCTTTAAATGCCCCTTTTTTCCTCCGCCTCGGTGAAATGCGCGACATGGTAATTACGATCGCCTACATTTTCAATATCTTTCGTATGACGGGTCTCCGTATCTCGCTGCACGCACGGCCGAGTACTATTTTCGAGTATTATTCATCGATGCTGGTAACACACAATCGCGTGTAGAAACTGGGAAATGACGCACGTCGATTCCACGCGAAAATACTTAACATTCGCGATTATATCCGTACGCCCGCGCGTTTATATTTCTTTGTAATGAGAGAATCACCATCACGCGCGTGTGTGCTAATATAAATTGACAATATCTTGATTAACGATAATGTACATTAACATAAATATTATAAAACAATTCTCAGCTCCCCATACTGATATTTCCTCAAGATTTTTATATCTTCTGCATTTACGAAATGATATCCGTACGCCCGCGCGTTTATATTCCTTTGTAATGAGAGAATCACAATCATGCGCGTGTATGTTAATATAAATATTATAAAACAATTCCCGCAACTCCCCATACTGATATTTCCTCAAGACTTTTATAACTTCTGTAGTTACGAAATAATATCTGTATACAGGGTATAATTTCTCATATGCAGGGTGTTATATAATAACCGCCTCACCTCTTATTTACGGATAGAGCGGACTAGACTGAGTCGAAATGTCCTCTACCATTTTGCAATTTTCGCAATAGTTAACGAGTTATTAATTATTAAAAGTTGCTATCTTAGCCCGGCCTACCACCCAATTAAAAGCGCACTGCGAGATGCGGCTGCCCCGCGATCGGCGTTGCTAGGCGCGCGGGGAGTTGTTTATTATACGTAGCCCTTGCCGCGTGTCATAAACAATTCCCCGCGCGCCTAGCAACGCTGATCGCGGGCCGGCCGCGTCTCACCGCGAGCTTGAATTGGGCGATAGGTCGTGCTAAGACAGCGATTTTTAATAATTAAACAGGACTTTTCGATTCAGTCTAGTCCGCTCTGTCCGTAAATAAGAGGTGAGACGGGTATTGCACAACACCCTGTATATGTGTCTGTGGGGGAGAAGGGGGAAGAGAGACTAATGACATACTTTTTGTATAGTTATTGGAGATTATTCGAAGCGGGGAATTTCCGGTGGTGAAAAGAAGAGGACGAGTATAGCTTGCGAATTACTCACGAATCCATCATTAATGTTACTTGACGTAAGTTTCTCCTATATTTTTTATCTATAAGCTGGGTGTGCATTTTTAAGTTTCGTTACATTTATGACTTGTTGTTGGTTTAACAGCTGCGTCATTAATTTTAGAAGTAATATATACTCACATTCTATACACGTTATCCTAATTAGTAACACACGCACAATTATTTTTAAATGTTAGTTGGAAAAAGTTATTATTATATAAGATTTAAATAATTTATGGAAACTTATTCTTACGATATACAGATCTAACTACAAAACGAATAACATAAGTATACAATTTTTCTCTCCAATCTAGAATTCCATGATTGTAAGATAGAAAATTCCTTGAATAAAATATTTATAGAATCGTGGATCCGTGTAGCTTACGATTTATAAACTAAATAATACAATTAAGCAAAGAAAATGTCAGTTTCAACTAATATGAATCTCAATAGTCTAGATACAACATTTCTATGAAATTTGTACACTTTTTCAACTGAGGGCTGATTATCTGAACCTCTTGAAAAGCAGCTAATAGTTAAAGTTGTTAGTTAACTAATAGTTAAATCTTGTCTTTGTTTTTCCTTCAAAGACAAAACTTAGACATTTAATTGAACTATTAGTTATCAAGCTTATCAAGAGATTGGGAAAACCTTAATAAATTGCGAGCCGATTATTTCATATCGGTCCCGTTTCACTTATTAGCGTTTACACGCGTCACCTGAAACCGAATGTGCATTAGATAATGGGACGAGTAATATGAAATAATTTTCAGAGTTGGAAAGAGTTCGGCCGGAAGAAGTTTTCTAAATCTGACGTTTCGACCATCAACTCATGAAATCTTTCATCTTTCAGGAACCCACGAGCGGACTTGACTCGCATTCGGCGCAGGCATTGATCTCGCGGTTGAAGAGATTTGCCGAGCAGGAGAGTAAAAGTATCGTGGTGACCGTACACCAACCTAGTTCCAGGATGTTCCACAGTTTTAGTAAGCTTCTCTTGCTGAGCAACGGTCAGGTGGCGTACTATGGATCGACGGCGAATGTCACCAGATTCTTCTCTGCGATAGGACTTACTCTACTGCCGCATTACAACCCCGCGGATTTCATTCGTGAGTGCACACACTGATATCGACTAATTTCGCGGAATTATACTTGCGAACTATGTATACGTTTAACAGGGGGCCAATTCTGTATCTCGCAACATAGTGAAAATGCTAAAAGTGAGCGCGATTTTGTCTCTTCTTAAGGGGACAGTTAGAAAGAGACAAGGCTACTCACTTTTAGCATTTTCACTATAGTGTAAAGTACAGAATTGACCACCAGGTAAAATTTTGCCTGGCGTCTTTATTTCTCTAAACATTTCAAACGAGGGGGAAACCGCTGAGGGCATTGTGGTGTACAGATTTGAGGCATTACTGGGCATTACTAGGCATTTCTTTGGGATTAGTTTGGGCATCAGGCCTTGCTGGGGCATTATAAAGATAAAATAAGATAAATAAGATAAATTAAGAGAATTAGATAAAGTAATGCCCACTGGGCATTAGTGGGCATTGGTGTACAAGATTTTAGTCAGCGGTTTCCTCCTCGATTTCAAACTTATAAGATACGTGATCCTCCAAGAGAAGATCAGTTTCTATCTCTTTAATATATTTTTTATGCTTTAATTGTTTGTCTTACGCAATACTTACTGTATATGAGAAAAGCGACACGAGTCAAAAGTAACCGGGAGAACGATTTCAAACTTTCAATCTGCTCATGGTGTCTGCTAAATTGTTTCTATCCTTTTCCTTCTCTCGCCTCGGCAGATCTTTCTCCTTAATGTGCGAATGTATTTTTTAAGCGTTCCTATTCCCTTACCATCGCTATTTTTAGATGAAATGTACTGGCTTCGCATTGCTCCACCTTTTAAGAAAATTTTTATCATTACACTCGTGATGCTATTCTGAACGAAAATACATACACTTTCGAGTTGATAAATTATGAAAGCGCAAAAACCCACATTTTTGTCCTGCATTACTTTTCTCGTGCGGCGGCCATTCTATTATATGTGCCACAAAAAGTGTTTCGCACAAAATTAGAACAAGCGACTAAAATGTAATCTAATCGCAATAACACGCGCGCACCTTACATTTTTACGTTTAACGTCACATTTAACGTATGCCAGTGGCGTAAGTATCTTTCAGTGCCGCAAATGCGTAAGGTATGAAAGTAAAAGAATAGTTTCCTAAATATATGTGCATTATTACCAAGCCAAATGATTTTCGGCACGCACATAATGTACACTCAATGTTGTGCATAGATGATTTTAAAATTAGCTAGATAAAGATAAGATAAAAATATATAAATTTATCTTAGATAATATAAAGATGATTTCGTTTTGAATATATCTAGATAAAAGATAAAATTATATGATGATTCATCTAGATAATTTTCAGATAATATTTTTAAGACTTCATGTAAACACAGTAGAAAAAGTTATAAAAAAATTCTAGAAAAATTTAAATTATAAAGGGGGATATAGAATATATTCAGGTTAAGTTATATGACACACACATAAATGCATGGTCTACAACGACATCCATATTTAAATAGTGTAACTGTTAAGTATTTTTATGTGGCCCTAAACCAAATTATCTGTACCTTATCTTAGATAATTTAGTAAAAATAACACTTTCTTTCATCTAAGATGCAGATATAGATAATACTTATTTTTATTATCTATATAAAGATAAGATAACGCTAAAATTTTATCTAGATAATCATCTATGTAATTTTATTTAGATAACAGCAAACACTGTGTACACTTGAAAAAAAGAATACGATCGTACATCTATTTTCTGAAGTAACTCCTTCGTGCTGACGAAATGTTAAGGGAAACGAACGGCCGTGAATTGATCAGAGCCGACCGAAAGAGGAGCTCGGCGTTGCACGAAAATGCTTCTGTTTTAGTGGAACAAATAAAGGGGCCAGAGGAGGTTCGAGATCGCATCGTTGCCGCAGCGAGAGCTGCAAGACAGGGACCTGACTGCCCACCGGAACTTCGTCTGGAGTATAATCCCAGCCAACATCCGCTCTGCGACCATCTCATCCATTATCACGAGCACCACATCAGCCACAACGGTATTACATAGTATGCAGTACCGCCCCGCGATATACGTATTTAAATGTATGCGCATCTAGACTTTCCCCCGGACCGCAGGCGGACCGTTACGGGCCCCGATGTGCCCATTTAAAGCGCGCACTTGCTCAAAGATCGAGTATCTCGCGTCCGACCTACGGCTGGAACGCGCTGGAAGGGCCGCTTTATGAGCTGCTAAGATAGGCAACTTGACTGAACCTGTCCGCTAAGTGTTTAGAGCCTTTAACTCGCGGAGCGCTTCGGCATAACCGACTCCAATGGAGTTATTTATCTCTCCGTTCTTGATGATTTGAATACGTGTATCTATGGGCGGAAGAGCAGTTTCCGAAATAGTTTGGAGTTATCTCGATTTTCGATAAGAAATAATCAACGAGCGAACAAATAAGAAAATAGCGAATATTTTCAAATCGTTGTTTTTTTTTAAAGCGAGCAATGCTACGTAATTTTTAACAATCTAAATTGAATTGCATTGAGTTTCCTTTCACCATCAAAAAGTTTATAAAGAATAAGAATCCAATTTTATGCATTTATTTAACCACATTTTTCAATATTAATTATCCTAGGGACTACGAAATAGCGAAGAATTATTTTCATAAAGAAAGTTCTACATGGTAGGAAAAAAATTGTAGATAACAAAACATACAAAAATTTGTGTAAATAACGTTGAACAATCTAGACTTCTTACATGTTTTACTAACGTTTGAAAGTGCCGCAAAATAAACTGCTGATATAAGAATGAACGAAGCGGGGCAAAATCGTAAGAGGATTGTCACCGATTTCTTCTCCTCTCAACTGCGTATCTCTGTCTACTTGCGTATTTATCGACGATGCAATTCTCGCGGAGTTACTCTAAACACTTGTTCCCCCGATGCTTTACAGTGAAGGAAGACGAAGGCCGCACGCTATGGTTGGACACACAAAGCCACGCCAGCAGCAGCGCGAGTTCTGCCGATGACGACTATTCCTGGCAGTGGCCCACCAGTTTCTGGTCGCAGTTCAAAGTGAGTACGAATGTTTGCAGCAATTACCGAATACAATGCCATTCTACTCGCGTGAGCGTATTCTTTATCTCCGCGGCGACGCGCCTATCTCAAATTTAAGGACAGAAGGCGGAAAGTAATAAACGAATAGGATATCAACATAAAAATAGATACGGAGTCAAGAAGTCATCTTTTTGTTAGAAAGCAAAATAGAAACGCGGCAGTTTCTTCTCTCTATTCGTATCTTGCAACCCAACTCATCGAATTTGAGTTTGAATGACTCGCGACGTGAGAGCATAAGCTGGTCCGGTTTGCGGGACTAATTTTCACTTGGAGCCTTAATATCGGGAAACTGGCGTAGTAGGTCTTGGACGTTCCAAGCGACCGTGCCAACGTAATTGTTGATAATTTCCGAAGCGTTATCCTTCGCGACGGATGAAAGTGTAGCCGCCGCATAGTCAGACTAATTCTTCGAGTCCAGATATGTGACGCACCGTCATCCGAGAAGAAAGAAGCGGATCAGCGGCGTGCCCTGTGTCGCGCATCGCGGGCGCCGATTAAACGAATGCATCTAGACTAACGCGTACCGGTTTACCTATTCGCGGAGGACGCGTCACCGCCGGTCGCGTCGTAGGTGGATCGCGGCATCGCCGAGGATCGGCACGCGCACGCGAGGGAAAGGGGAGGGCCGCGCGCATAAGCGCCGAGCGGGAAAGAAGAAGACCGGCCGGGCGTGCTGAGAGGAGAACTGGGACGCGTTTGCACGATTCGCCATATCCGGATAATTACCGCGCGACCGGTATGCCCCGTTCGTATAATCGCGCTTTACGTACGAATACGTACGCCGCGTCACTTGCATCACTTTTACCTGTTACCGCGCGTTTCTTCGCGGCCTACAGTAGCGGCGCTCCACTCCGCCTCTCGTCGTCGCGAGGAAGAGAGAGACGAGCCGTCCAAGGTCCAATATTTCTATTAGCGATATTTATTGAACCAGGAGATACGGAACATAAATTTCGTTCTCTTTGTCCGTTGACCTGGACGTTGCGAAACAATAAGTAACACCGACCGAAAACCGGCCTTTCACGCGATGCCCGAGACACTCTGTGTATGTACAGTTATTGTTTAAAAAGGCCTTCGAAACCCGGCATTGTGAAACTTTGCGTTCTATTTTCTCACGGACGCTGATATAATCGAGTCGCACCGAAGGTATTAACCTGCCGTGTGTTATTGTAAAATCGGCGTCTCGCGAAATAATCCGCGTAACCGAAAAAAAAGAAACGCACCGAGTTATCGGGAAGTAAGCGCCGACGGCGCAGTTATCTTTTCTTAACTTTCCACCGGACAGTTTTTTTTATCTCAACTTTCCATAGCACGACATTACGCAATCCACGTTGACTCAAACGTCGTCCTGAGCTTCTGCCGCGAACGATATCTTGAATTTATTACGGTTTGTCAGCTGAGTCGGTGGAAAATTGCAAACGGACCCCGCAGGGAGCCACGTCCGAACGTTGTACAAACGAAGTGATTTTCCCGTGATTTCAGGTATTAACGGCAAGAAATTTTAAAGAGGCACGGCCACGAATGTTGTCGCGCCTTCACTGGCTGCAAACGGTGGCTCTCGGGCTTTTAACTGGGCTTTTATGGCTGGGTCTTCCCAGAACTGAGGCAGCCATTCACGATATCCAGGGGTGGATGTTCTTCAGCAACACGTACTGGATGCTTTTTGCACATTTTGGAGCGCTCACTAGCTGTGAGTTGTGAATTTAATTCTCATTCGCGCGCTTGTAACCGAAATCCCGTCACAAAGGGGTGGTGTCCGTTCTGCTGAGGCTAGACTGATTATCTCGACAATACTTGCATTAATTAGACACTTGGCCGGGACGAAGTTACAATATATCGAATTTGCGGCGAGCCAGCAAAATAAATTTTAATTATACGGGAATGTAATTGTGTATATTCTAAATTGACAGTTAAAGCGTTTATTTGCGAATTAAGCTCGAAACGCGTGCGATTATAAAATCTCTCTCTCTCTCTCTCTCTCTCTCTCTCTCTCTCTCTCGACTAATGAAATTTATTTCCTCGCAGAGCTTTTTGATTAATTCCAACTTAATTTTCAAATGCTTGGAAAAGCAGATGGAATTGATTGGGTAATTGGACTTTATCACAGCCATTAACGTGCTCAATCGGCCATTGAGTAAGGCTCACTTTTTGTCGCAAAAGGACCGGAGAATGTTCAATCAAGAATGTTAGCACGTGTGGCATGCCATGACCTGATACGTGCTCGGTAATGGAGGTCCTTAAATTCACGTTTCTCTGATAGCTGGCGCGCAGGCACAAATATATAAAACACACGCCCCGGTTTCTTTTGCAAAATGACGTAAAATCGTGCCGGGATACACGAGGGGTAAACCGCTGACCGAAATCACGTACGCCAATGCCTACCAATGGGCGCTACTTTATCTTGTTATCTTATTTTATCTTATTTGATCTTTGTAATGCCCAAACTAATGCCCAAAAGTGCCTAGTGATGCCCAGTAATGCCGCAAATCTGTACACCACAATGCCCTCAGCGGTTTACCCTCGGAGATATACAGGGTGTCCTATAACCACCGGGTATCCTTTTAATCACAGATTCCTTAGAAAATTTCAAGACGAACGTCCTAATACAAAAATGTCGAGGCTATGATAGGTTTTAAATAATAAGCGATTTTATCTCGCAAATGACAGGCCTGAGATTTCGCGCGCTCAGGCACGGCGACATGACGAGCGATAAAAGTCTT